TGCACTCCAGCCTCCGCGACAGAGCAAGATTCCGTCTCCATAGAAACAAAAAAACAAACCTTACATATGTGTATAAGCCTGTGACAGGATTCTGTACTTTTCCTTTTATCTACAGTTTGCATATTTCTTCAGTAATACGTGCTGTGTTAAGTACTACAGCTTCATATTAAACCTTATCGTCTGGTAGAACAAAACTTTCCACATCTAAAAAGTTTTCTTGACTATTATTTTACTCATTCATTTGAATTTTAGAATATGCTTATCAAGCCCTAAGAAAAATTACATTGTGATTGGCTGGGATTTTGTTGACTTTGCATGTTAATTTAGAAAAAACGGACATCTTGAAGGAGTGTTTTCCCACACAAAATGTATTTATATCTGTTATGTGTTTTGGCAGAGTTTTCTATTTCTCCACTAAGGTCTTGTACATTTTTTATTGGCTGTATTTCTGAGTACTTTATATTTTTGTTGCTATTGTATTAATTCATTTCTGATTGGTTGCTATTGTGTTGGAAAGTTATTGAGTATATGTTGATTATATATTCAACCTCCTGAATGTCCTATCATGTTCTAACTGTTTTTTTGGTTCATTCTGTGTAATTTTTTAGGTGATGTTTCATATCATTCATGAGTATATTTGCTTTGCATCTTTCTTGTCTGTTTTCTGCATATTTTTTCTTGTCTAATTGCATTGTCTAGGATTACATTGTTTGTTCCTATTTTTAATTGCAAAGCATTTTGTGTCTTTACCATTTAGTGTCACGTCTGTTGGAGATTTCTTTTGTCTATTCTGCATATCAGTTTAAGGATGTCTCTATTCCTGGATTGTTAAGAGTGTGCACAAAAAGAAGATATAGTTACTTAATTTTAAGAGAATGCCAATACTGTAAATAACTTTATGCCAATAAATGTGAAAAGCTAGATGAATACTTGGATTGTTTCTTCCTTCTTACTATTATGTATAATGCTGCTATGAACATTTGTGTATGAGTTTTTATATGGACATTTATTTTATCTTGGGTATATATATAGGAGTAGAATTGATAGGTCAATTAGTAAATGTATGTTTAACTTCATGAGGAACTGTCAGACTGTTTTCATAAGTGTGTGCATCAATTTACATTTCCACCAGCAGTGGATAAAGTTTCAGTATCTCCACATTCTCACTGATTTTTTATTTATATTTCTGAGACAGAGTCTTGCTCTGTCCCCTAGGCTGGAGTGCAGTGGGGTGATCTTGGCTTACTGTAGCCTTGACCTTACAGGCCCAGGCGATCTTCTTACCTCAACCTCCTGGGTAGCTGGGACCACAAGGTGCATGCCACCAGGCCCAGCTAATCTTTTGTATTTTTTGTAGAGATAGGATTTTGCCATGTTGCCTAGGCTGGTCTTGAATTCCTGGACTCAAGCAATCCCCTCACCTTGGCCTCCCATGATTGCTTATTATTGGATTTTTGTTCTAGCCACCTTACTGGGTATGAAGTACTATCTTATTGTTCTGTTAATCTGCATTCCCTGATGACTATCCTGTGTACTTATTAGACATGTTAATATTTTCTTTGGAGAAATGTCAATTCAGACCCTTTGGCCATTTTTATTTTTGAGATGGAGTCTCATTCTGTCACCCAGGCTGGAGTTTAGTGATGCAATCTCAGCTCACCGCAACCTCTGCCTCCTAGATTCAAGTGATTTTACTGCCTCAGCCTCCCGAGTAGCTGGGATTACAGGTGCCTGCCACCATGCCCGGCTAATTTTTGTATTTTTAGTAGAGACGAGGTTTCGCCATGTTGGCCAGGCTGGTCTCAAACTCCTGACCTCAGGTGATCTACCTGCCTCGGCCTCCTAAAGTGCTGGGATTATAGGCATAATCCACTGTGCCCTGGCCCTATTTTAAAATTTGTTGTTTTTTTCTTTTTATTATTGAGTTGTAATATATAAAGAATATAAACATATATTCTGTGTATATAAAGAATATAAATATATAAATATATTTATATATTAAAGAACATAAATATATTCTTTATATATTCTAGATACAAGTCTTTATCAGATACATGATTAGCCAGTGTTTTCTTCCAGTCTGTGGATGGCTTTTCACTTTCACTTTCTTCTTATAGTCTTTTGTGTACAAGAGGTTTTCCTTTTGGTAAAGTCCAATTTATTTATTTTTTCCTTGTTTTCATATGATTTTTGTGTGCATGTGGCAAGAATCCATTGAATGTCACAAAGACTTATACCTAGGTTTCTTATAAGAGTTTTAGAGTTTTAGTTTAGATTTTTTTTTTTTTTTTTTGACATAGATCACTCTGTTGCCCAGGCTGGAGTTCAATGGCACGATCTTGGCTCACTGCAATCTCTACCTCCCATGTTCAAGCAATTCTCCTGCTTCAGCTTCCTGAGTAACTGGGATTACAAGGGCCCACCACCATGCTCAGCTAATTTTTTCTATTTTTAATAGAGATAGGGTTTTGCCATGTTGGCCAGGCTGGTCTTGAACTCCTGACCACAGGTGATTGACCTGCTTCGGCCTCCCAAAGTGCTGGGATTACAGGCTTGAGCCACTGCGCCTGGCAAGGTTTAGTTCCTATATGTAGGTATTTGATCTTTTAGAAGTTATTTTTATAGATGGAGTGAGGTAGAGCACCATCTTCATTATTTTGCAGGTGCATATCCACTTGTCTCAGCACCATTTGTTGAAAGGATCATTCTTTCCACTTTGAATGATCTTGGCACCATTGTTGTAAAATAATGACTAGAGATGTATGAGTTTATTTCTGGACTCTTAATTCTAATCCATTGAACTGTATGTCTATTCTTATGCCAGGAAGCAATACAGTGAAGACTGTTGTTCTGTAGGAAGTTTTGAAATTGAGAAGTTTGAGTCCTTCAACTTATTCCTCTTTTTCAAGAAGAATTGTGATTGTATGGGTCTCTTCAGTTTCCACATAATTTTAGAATTGGCTTTCGACTTCTAAAAAGATGCCCCCTGGGAATCTGATAGGGATTGTGTAGAACCTGTAGATGAGTTTTGGGAATATCAATGGGACTTGTGTTTGAAGAAAAGAGAGGAATTAAAATGTTTTGGCCAGTGCGTGAATTCATTGACACAACTTGGGAAATCCAGAGAGGAAGGCAGTAAGAACATGCATGTTAGACATTGAACTTAAGGTGTTGCAGGACCCCCAAGTGAAATGTCCCATAGGCAACAGGAGGCATGTGGTAGGGGTCTAGGAGGGAAAGAAGAACTGTGAGAGTGGTATTAAAGCAATGAGAGTTGGTCAGATTGCTGACGGAAAGAACAAGGAAGCACTGGGCCCTGAGTTTTAAGGGGTCTATAATGAGAGGGCAGGAGCAGGAAGAGGAACCAGGGCATGAGGAACCACAACTGTGAGGGGAAAATCAGGGCTGGCTGGTGCTAGGGAAGCCATGGGAGAGAGAGTGTGGCCAGAATAGCTTCCTTGAAAAAGGTTGATGAGAGTGAGGGCTCGGAGGAACACCCAGTTCTCAGCTTGATACGGGACCTTGTACTGTGCCCTCCAGGGAAAATTCACAGCACTCTTGGGATAATGCCTTATGGAAGAGGTTAAGAGTCAGTGTGTGTGGAGGTGCCTGGGTTCTCTTGAATCCACTTATTGGGAATATAGATCTTATGGGAGCCGGAAGCAGGGCTTGTCCCACTCATAGCTTTCTTTCCTCCCTCAGCTCAATGTGCTTCTCCAGTTCCTACCCTTCCTCAAGTGGGGAACTCAGGACTTCGGATGGTCAGGCCCCAGGTGAGCTTGGTTCTTTGTGTTTTTACCACATCCCCATTAGTCTGGTCCAGGAATGGCTAGAGGTCTCACCCCCAGGACTCTGCCCCATCTAGACTGTTCCTGTGGCTCTCCTGCCTCACTGCTTCCCATGGAGGTAATGGACTCTATCTTGCCCTGGACTTGTCGTTTTTGAGGTGTCATCTCAGCTCCTCTCTCCCACACTTTTGCCCACGAAGAGCCCATACCCTGTGCCCTCTGTACCCCTGATGACTGCCTTTCAGGCTGTTAATGTTCCTGAGCGATTGGAGCTTGTCATTCCAGGATACTGTGGCATATGAGGACCTGTGTGTGGACTATACTCAGAAGAAATGGAAATGTCCTGCACTCAGTCAGAGAGCCCTGCAGTGGAACATGATACCGGAAAATGACCATAGCATGGCCTCCTTGGGTAATAGATTCTGTTTCCTAGTCACTTAGAGTCTGCATGCTGCACATTGTCTTTTCTATATTCCTTGTCTCTTTAAACTTTTTATTATGAAAATTTCCAAACACAGATAAACTAGAGTGAATAATATAAGAGCTGGTGTCTGTGAAGCTGCCTGGGTCCTCTTGAATAGGGACCCTCTGCACCCTTCCCTCAGCTTGAACAATGATCAGCATCCTCTTTACCTCATTATTGATTGACATAAGGTGATTTAGGTAGGGTTTTTTGAGTTGTAAGGAATAGAGAGCCACTCAAGTTATTGTAAGTAAGGAGCTGTGAGTCATAGGCTTAAAGGAATGAGAACCCAGAAGAAACTGATCAGCCAGACCAGACTGTGGGAAGCAGGGCCTTGACTCAGGGCAGCCTGGGAGCCTGAGCAGCAAAAGCAAATACATGTTGATGCCTGTGTTCCAGTGTGAATGTAATACAGCTGCTCTCAGTGTATCTGTTTTCTCTCTGCTTGTCCTCCTCCTGCTGCCCGTTTTCTTCACTGTGAATCTTTTGTCCTTTTCATAGCTCTTTCCTAATTGTACTTCCTGTTACCTTATATTTGTTGCTTGCTATGTCTCCTAATGGCTTGACTTCTCTCCATGTGTCACTTCAGATTCCACTGCCACTCATAATTTTGCCCTACTTTCAGTTCCAAATTTCCTTAGAGACAGATTCCTTTTGCTATAGCCATTACCCATCACCTCAGTTGGGCAGAGCTTTGGCCCAGGCCATGGCAGAGGCTGAAGACCAACCTACAGATAAGCTGCCCTTGGATCTAGTACCTGGTTCTGGTCCATTCACTTGCGGTCCATCATGGGATGTTCAGGGTCACTTGCCACAAAGCATGGTTGCCTAAGTGTTCCTCTCTGCAAAGACTGGGGCAGTGCAGTTTCCTGGGAGGGCTTCTTGGCAGGGCAGGTGCTGTGATTGATTCGTATAGGGCAGTAGCCAACTCTGGAAAGGGTGGGCTTAGGAATCACTCACCCAGACATCTTAAACTTTTCATAGGCTAACTGGCACGATGGCTGTGGCCCCAATTCAGATGTGATTGAAAGGAACCCACATTTTGGTGTTTTTCCTTGGCCATGATTGCTCTGCCTTCTCCCAGATTTTGTATTCAGAATTTCAAAAGGCAAATATTTACCTGTTCAGTTCCTTTATATTCTAGAGAATCAAAGAAATTTTAATTTATATTTCAAATGATTGATATCCCTGTTATCTTTTCTGGGAGTACACAACTGGCTCCTACCAGGCCAATGCTCTGAGGGCCAGTGGCATCCCCACTTTTGGAAATCTGCTGTCTCCTTCAATACTGCCGTCCAGCTTTTCTTAACCGATAGCTTCTCCGAATCTCATTACTGTCCTGTCATACAACATCTTTCCTTTTGTACGCTTTCCTAATCATACCCTCATAGTAGAAATTTCTCAACTCATTCCCATCTTTTCCTTGTCTCTTTCTTATACTTGACTTGAGGTATTTGCCAGCCTTCCCTCTCCCAACATCTTTTCTGAGAACCATGGAACCATATAATGTCATGGCTGGAAGGGAACTCAAAGTTTACCATTTTGCTAAAGAGACATGACATGAGAGTGACTTATATAAGATCACAGCATGCTTTGCAATCCAGTCCCTTGCTTTCCAATGGCCTTTCTGACTTGGCTGTGCTGGCTCGATATCTTTTTTCCACCCTCCTCCACTGACCAGCTTCTTCTTCCTTGTTTTTCCATCCCTAAGATACAATTGAGCATTTTGCTCTTGTTTTTAATGTGTCATCTCATTTCTTAACCACAATGTGACTTTTTTTCAGGTATGTTAGCTCTTTATGATTCTGTTTCTTTAACAGGAAAAGAAATGAGTAAAAGTTGTCGTCTTCTTTCTTTTGGCAGCAGGTAGGAACATGATGGAGAGTTCGGAGTTGATTCCGAAGCAGGAAATTTTTAAAGGATCAGAGTCATCTAATAGCACATCAGGGGGACTCTTTGGGGTGGTTCCTGGGGCAGCAGAGATTGGAGATGTTTGTGAAGATACCTTCAAGGAGTTAGAAGGACATACCACAAATGAAGAAGGGAGCAGACTAGAAAGTGATTTCTTGGAAATAACAGATGAAGATAAGAAAAAATGCACAAAAGACAGATATGAGGAATATAAGGAAGTTGGGGAACATCCACATCTGTCTTCCAGTCCTGCTGAACATGAAGGAGTTTTAAAGGGACAGAAATCCTATCGATGTGATGAATGTGGCAAAGCTTTTTGTTGGAGTTCTCACCTTATTGGCCATCAGAGAATCCACACTGGAGAGAAACCCTATGAGTGTAATGAGTGTGGGAAGACCTTCAGGCAAACCTCCCAGCTCATTGTTCATCTCAGAACCCACACAGGGGAAAAACCCTATGAATGCAGTGAGTGTGGAAAGGCGTATAGGCACAGCTCCCATCTCATTCAACATCAGAGACTTCATAATGGGGAGAAACCCTATAAATGTAATGAATGTGCAAAAGCTTTTAATCAGAGCTCCAAACTCTTCGACCACCAGAGAACCCACACTGGGGAGAAACCTTATGAATGTAAGGAGTGTGGGGCAGCCTTTAGTCGCAGTAAAAATCTTGTTCGACATCAGGTTCTGCACACTGGTAAGAAACCTTATAAGTGTGATGAATGTGGGAGAGCTTTCTGTTCCAATAGAAATCTCATTGACCATCAGAGAACCCACACTGGGGAGAAGCCTTATAAATGTAATGAATGTAGCAAAGCCTTCAGTCGGAGTAAATGTCTTATTCGACATCAGAGCCTCCACACTGGGGAAAAGCCATACAAATGTAGTGAATGTGGGAAAGCCTTCAATCAGATCTCTCAACTCGTTGAGCATGAGCGAATTCATACTGGAGAAAAACCTTTTGAATGTAGCGAGTGTGGTAAGGCATTCGGTCTGAGTAAATGTCTTATTCGGCACCAGAGACTTCACACAGGTGAGAAGCCCTATAAATGCAATGAGTGTGGAAAATCCTTCAATCAAAACTCATACCTCATTATACACCAGAGAGTTCACACTGGTGAGAAACCCTATGAATGTCATGAGTGTGGGAAGGGCTTCAGTTATAATTCTAGTCTTATGGTACATCAGAGAACCCATACTGGGGAAAAACCCTATAAATGCAATAGTTGTGAGAAAGCCTTTAGTGACAGCTCACAGCTTACTGTGCACCAGAGAGTCCACACTGGAGAGAAACCTTATGAATGTATTGAGTGTGGGAAAGCCTTTAGTCAGCGTTCCACTTTTAATCACCACCAGCGAACTCACACTAGAGAGAAGCCCTCAGGTCTGGCTTGGTCATCATCTTAAGGCGTGGTTCTCTGAGACAGAGAGCAAAGACCTTTGAGTTAAGCTTTCTTTATAAGAAGGATGTTGATCATGGTCTCCTTGGAGACCGCTAATCACAGTGGGGACCATACCCTACTTGCTTTTCCTTGGGTCACTAAGGTGGGAGAGTAGGTGCAAGTTAGTCTGATCCTTACTTAGTATTAGGAAATTAGGGATTACATCTGTCATTAACTTGTAGGTTTCCTTCCTTCTCTTAAAAAACTATTTAAAAAATCTGTCTTGTTAGTATGCATTCCATAATCAGATTCTGCATTTGAAGAACAGCAGTTGTATTATCTTTATTCTATTGCAGTTCCTCCACTGGACCATTTATGTAAAGTCACTTTTAAAGTCATTCTACAAGATTGTTCTTCCCTGCTCCTTGGTTATCTCCTTCCACAGCTATTTTTAAAATTTGTACTGTAAGCTACATCCTCTCATCATTTTTGTGTTTTCTAGCTAGAAAACTTTTTCTTCCTGTTTACTAATCACTTCCTTCACAATGTTCAAGATTTATGCCATCTCTGAAAGACTTTCTTCTTCAAATAGTTGTTTGTTTAGTTTATACTTCTCAATAGAAGTATAAAGTATAAATATATAATTTGGCCTTAATGCTTTAAATTAGCTGGTGCTATGATGTATAACTGTTAAATGTTTTTGTAAATTGTTCTCAATTTACAATGTGATATGTGTATCACATATATACAGAGTATACACATATATAGTTGTGTATGTGTATACTTTCTTTTTTTGTTTTTTTTTGAGACAGAGTCTCAGTCTTGCTCTTGTTGCCCAGGCTGGAGTGCAGTGGTGCAATCTTGGCTCACCACAACCTCTGCTTCTTGGGTTCAAGCGGTTCTTCTGCCTCAGCCTCCCGAGTAGCTGGGATTACAGGCATGCACCACCATGCATGGCTAATTTTTTTTTTTGTATTTTTAGTAGAGATGAGGCTTCTCTCTGTTGGTCAGGCTGGTCTGAAACTCCCAACCTCGGGTGATCTGCCCATCTCGGCCTCCCAATGTGCTGGGATTACAGCTGTGAGCCACGGCACCCAGCTGCATATGTGTATACTTTCATACCAGCTTGTAAGCTTCTGAGATCAGGTATGGTATCTATTTATTTTAGTATATACATAATAGTTTGAGTATGCTAGTTCTTAAGTTTTAAAATTCAAATTGAGCCATCATTAACATGGGCACAGGCTCCCCTCTCCCCATCACATCCACTGCACTAGAAGCTTCTAAAGAAGGAAGTAGGCTGGGTGCAGTGGCTCACGCCTGTAATCCCAGCACTTTGGGAGGCCGAGGCGGGCAGATCACGAGGTCAGGAGATCGAGACCATCCTGGCTA